CACACCCGTGGTTCCTGCCCGATACAGGAGGTGCCTGGACCGCTATGCACAGCACACACCCGTGGTTCCTGCCCAATACAGGAGGTGCCTGGACCGCTGTGCACAGCACACACACCCCACGGTTCCTGCCTGACATGGGAGGTGCTGTCCGGGGAGGCCCCTCTCAGTAGCCCTCTGACCTTCAGGCTTCCGCCCTCCAGCACCCCGACCCCATGACTGAGGGCTGGACGTCCATACTGAGTGGTGCCCTCCAGGGTGTGGAGCAGCCTGTGAGGACCACGGTAGGTGAGGAAGGAAGCTCAACCCCTAGGAAGCCAAGGGCAACCCGAAAACCAACCAGGTCTGATCTTTAGGGGTGCAAACCTTCAAATCTTCTAGCAATTTCGAGTCCACGCTCCCCCTGCAGGGAGTCCCGTCCGTGGCCATGATCGGACGATAGAAGCACGCAGGGCCACCGTGCGGACTGAGGGTCTAGGCCCTCGGGCCACGGGGACTGTAACGGGGAACCCTGGGCATCCCTGCCCACTGTGTATCCGCCACGGGGACTCGCTTGTCCTTTCTGTTTGTGATTTTCTTCTTCCTTCTGAAACGAAAATGTCAGAAGCGATTCCAGGAAGGTCAGAGTTCTTTGGGGCTGGGTTCAGCGGGAGGTTTCCGCCTGCAGAGTCAGTCTCTGGGCTAAGGTCAGCATCTTCTGTCCCCTCTGGTTGGGGGCCATCTGGGGGGTTGACTCTGTCCCCTTGCAGAGCCCCATGGTCTGGCCAGATGGGGCCTCACCACCCCCACAGCTGTGGCTCTTGGCCAAGTAGGTTCATGAACCTTAAAGACTCCAGCTAGAGGGCCCAGAGTCGGGGCAGAATGCACTCCTCAGGGCGCTGGCTGGGGGCGAAGGGGACACGGCTGTCACTCCCAGTGTCTTCCTGCCGGGGACAGGCTGTGGTCAGTCCGGGCACCATGCTTTAAAACATCCCACATGTGTTTTTGCCGAACTGGTCCCATGACCCCTTTCCCGAATCTCACCAGATGTTTCCCTGGGAGAGACCCCGTTGCTCACGTAAACAGGGGTGCGTGTTTTCCCAGGGAGGCCAGCAGCAGGCACCGGCTCCTTGACCACCAGGCAGAAATCTTCACGGACTCAGAGGAATATATTTTGGGTCTTTGCGTGTGAGCGAGCGGAGCCCAGAAATAAATCTGTGTCTGTAACAGGAAAAGACAGGCTCTCCCGCACGTGGGCTGCCTTTTCTCCTGGCTCAGAAGTGCCCCGTGGAGTCCGTGCTGTTCCTGTGGGTCACCAGGCTGGAAGACCACCACCTCTCCAGCCTCAGTGCCCTCCGTGGCTCCCCAGCACTGAGGAGGTGGCTTTGAGCTTCTTGGCCGAAGGAGTCCGTGCTTACGCAGGCTGGGGCTCAGCTGGACCAGGGCTGCTGAGAGCACCAGAGGCTCCCCTGCTGGGAAACAGGTCTTGTAATACCCAGTTGGCGATGAGGAAATGCAGGCTCAGAGAGGTTAAGTCACTTTGTGGAAACCACACGGGGGCAGGGCAGGATTCCAGCCCAGGCCACGCCGTCCCAGGCCTCTAAGCACGGTGCCCACTCAATCTGCCCCTCGAGGGCCACAGAAGGATCTGGGCTCATCTTGCCAGAGCCCCTGGTGCTGCCTCCTCCAGTTCACTCTGAGATCATCAGTTCTCAACCCACACCTTACGTCCTTCAGCCCTGGGCTCCCCACAAGAGTCCCCAGGCCGCTGTCTCCCTGAAGCAGCCTCAGGCCCCCACTCCTGGGTCCACGCTTCTGCACAGCTCCCCTAACCACTGGGACAGGCCCCTGCACAAAGCCCTGCAGGACCCCAACCTACAGCTTCAGGGTGGGAGCAGGGGCTGAGCAGTGGCCCCCGAGCCACATGCTCCTGGAGCATGCAAACGTGGCCTTGTTTGGAAGAAGGGTCTTCACAGAAGGAATTAAGTTAAACATTTCTGGATGAGATCATCCTGGATTTAAGGTGGGCCATAAATCCAATAGCAGAGAATGGCAGAGGGAGATTCGAGACCTAGTGAGGAGAGGAGACCGTGCCACCGAGGAGCCAGCAGCTGGAGCGATGTGGCCACAGCCAGGGAACACCTGGAGCCCCCGGAAGCTGGGAGAGGCAGGAAGGATCCTCTCCTAGGGCCTTCGGAGAGAGTGCGGCCCTGGAGACACTTTGACTGTGGACTTCAGGCCTCCAGAGCTGAAGGAGAATGAACCTCTGTAGTTTTAAGCTGCCCACTTTGGGGTCACGTGTTACAGCAGCTGCAGGAGGATCCCACAATGATCAGCATGGCACACACCTCAGGGCCTCCGTTTTCCCAGCTGTGAAATGAGGATGATGATGGGACCTGCCTCACAGGCTTGCGGTGAGGACGAAATGAGTTAATATGCATGGAATGCATGCAGCAGGGACCGGCGCATAACTGACATTGAGTGGATGTCAGCCTCTGTCAACATTACTATTACTATTACTGTATTATTGCCCTTCGTTCATTCATTCCATAAATATGTGCAAAGCGGCTGCTCTGAGCCTGCCGTGGGCAGCAGGGCAGCACAGAAGAGACCTGAGTGGTGGTGCTGGGGAGAGGATGGCATAGGGCAGGCCTCGTGGATGCAGCCGGAGGCCTCACCATCAGCATAAACCACTGTGGGTGGGGCTTCCGGAGGAGCGACAGGACAGGATTCACCCCATGGCCATTTGCTTTTCTGTCGGATCAGGAAGAAGCATGGGATGAAGCTGGGGCGTCAAGGAGGGTCTCCCTTCCTCGGTGGGTCACCTGAGGTGCCGGGGCCCTGCGTTTAACTCTCTCTGCTGGACCTGGAAGCTTCGCCCAGGTCCCCGGGACCGTCGCAATCACAGGCTTCCACCAAGGCTCTCACTGAGTACATTGACTTGACCCACTTCAGATTTTGTTTTCTTTTTTTTTTTTTTTTTGAGATGGAGTCTGGCTCTGTCGCCCAGTCTGGAGTGCAGTGTCCAGATCTCAGCTCACTGCAAGCTCCGCCTCCCGGGTTTACACCATTCTCCTGCCTCAGCCTCCCGAGTAGCTGGGACTACAGGCGCCCGCCACCTCGCCCGGCTAGTTTTTTGTATTTTTTAGTAGAGACGGGGTTTCACCATGTTAGCCAGGATGGTCTCAATCTCCTGACTTCGTGATCTACCCGTCTCGGCCTCCCAAAGTGCTGGGATTACAGGCTTGAGCCACCGCGCCCGGCCAGATTTTGTTTTCTTAAAACTCATCCCCAAGTACACTTTGGGAGGCCAAGGCAGGCAGATCGCCTGAGGTCAGGAGTTCCAGACCAGCCTGGCCAACATGGTGAAATCCCATCTCTACTAAAAATACAGAAATTAGCCAGGCATGGTGGTGCACACCTGTAATCCCAGCTACTCGGGAGACTGAGGTAGGAGAATCGCTTGAACCCAGGAGGCGGAGGTTGCAGTGAGCTGAGATCGCGCCACTGCACTCCAGCCTGGGCAACAAGAGTGAGACTCCATCTCAAAAAAACAAAAAATGATTAAAAACAAAACAAACAAACAAAAACTCATCCCCAAGTGACTCTGGCTTCATTGCTTTTTGTCAACAAGCTACAACGAACCTATGTACTTGTGTCAAACGCTCAAGGGGTCCAGAACCCAGGTCAGGCCCTGAGCCTGCACCTGGTCGCTCTGCACCCAGAGGGGACGGATGAGGTCCCAGCCGGCACTCGCTCTTCCTTCCGTCTGCCTTTTTGCCAAGACTTCCCATCCCTTCCTTAAGTCTCAGAATTGTGGAAAGGAGAGGTGGATGGGACTTCAGTCTGGAAGCCCCGCTCTGACCCCCAAGCCCCGGGGGACCAAGGACCCCACTGCCCTTAGGCAGCTCTGGCTCAGGAGGACTCGGCGCCGTCTTGCTTCTTGTTGCATCAGCACCCCGGGCAGCTGGGTGGTCTCAGGGTGACGGGAAGGCCGATGGATGTGACATGTGTTTTTGATGGGGAAATACGTTGCGGCCGCATACATGCTGCTCCTTTGGTAAAGGGACTCTCTTAAATGCGAAATCCAGAGGGGAGAGGGAAAGCTGGAGACGTTGGGGGCATCTTTGCACCTGATCCCCGATTAAGAGCGGGGAGTCCGGGCAGGGCTGCCTGTGTTTGAGCGCAGCCTGTGTTTGTGGTGACTTCATCTCCCCCAGCCTCAGTGTTCCCATCTGTAAAGGCGGCCTTTCCCATCAAGCTGGCCATGGAGGTTGATGGAGTCATTTCTCATGAAGCCCCTAGCTCATGCCGCATCCTCGCCAGCCAGCGCTCGGTGACTCTCTGCTGTTCACTGTTGTCATTGAGGACCAAAGAGAGGTGACTTGGCCAAGCTTGCAGCTGTTTAGGGAGGGCGCTGGACTTGAACTCAGGCCTGCCTTCGAGCCCGTGCACCAGGCTGCCCATTCTCTTTAGGATAAAGTCAGTGCAGATACAAGGGAACCCGGGAAGTGGACCCGGAGCAGGCAGAGGTGTGGCCCTGACCCACAGGGGGAAGATGCCCAGAGTAGGGACCATCTTCAGCCATCCCCCCCTCGGCACTTCTCAGGCACCCACAGGTCCCTGAGTGATCCCAGGTGGAGGCCAAGGGGCCTGGGCTCTGCGTCCTGAAAGGTCCTCTTTTGTGGCCTGGGCCACTCTGGGGGCCCTCTGCTAAACCCTCCTGAAAACTTCCCCCTTGTTTTGGAGTCTGTACCCCCCGGGGATCCTCCTCTAAACCCTCCTGGCTCTTAAAGGTTCCCGTGTGACCTGGGGGAGCTCCCATAGCCCCCTGTACTTCCTCCCACCTTCTGCTAAAAGGGGATTCTAGATGCACCTCAAAGTGTTGTCAACGTGGAATGAGGTCGCGGTGAAAGCAGCCATACCCAGTAGCTGCTCAATAAATTGTGGCGGTATCTGAAGATCAAGGTAGTTTTCCACACAGATCCACCCACCCTGACCCAGAACCTTCCTTCTCTCTCCAGACTAAAATCCATGGAGTCGGGTTTGTGAAAATCCACGCGCCCTGGAACGTGCTGTGCAGAGAGGCCGAGTTTCTGAAACTGAAGATGCCGACGAAGAAGGTTGGTATTGATGGTTCTGCTCCGAAATGAATCGCCAAGTCTAGAGGTCACTTGGACGCCCGGCGGTGAAACATGCATACCTCGAGGCCCTGAGTTTTATAAAAAGCCTAGTGGGCTTCACGGCTACCCCTGGGAGGACCATGTGGCTCGACGTGACAAGGCCCCCAGGCTCCGGAGTCCTGATGACCCAGCCCTGGGCGGTCTTTACAGACCCCAGACCAAACCCCACCAAGAGGTGGTGCAGGCGGAAGAGCCCACCTCTCAGCTCCCAAGGAATCGTCTGTACATGCAGACGCAGTTACAGCTCGGGCCCTGGGGCTTTCGTGTTTGTGGCATCTCAGCTAATTTATCAGATTCACTTTAATTACGTTTTCTGGCTTACTGGGATTTTTCTTTTTAATCTGTGAAAACCTTGTATCTAAAAAGCAGTTTGACAGTGTGTTCCCAGAAGCTTAGCTTGGAGTCGGTATTTACTCTGGCAGGCGGACGGGTGAAGCTGAGCTAGCTATAGCAAATCAACCTCCTGCTTCTCGCGCCCTCAGAGACCACTTGGATTCCCTCTTTCGAAGCAAAAGTAAAGTTTAGGGGGGAAATTCTCTGGAATGCATTGTAATTGTGCTTTTGGCTGGGCGCTCCTGAAACTCTGGGCTTTCACGGCATGGGCAGGGAGGGGCGGTGTATTCCGGCCCACCCAGGCGCTCTGCTCTCAGGACGCGCCATTGCATGGGGTGGGATGGTTCTCTGGCCGTCTGAGAACAGATTCCATGGATCGTGGTCCAGCCGGGTGACGCGGCTCCCCGATTGCTTGTCTTATCTGCAGATGTACCACATTAATGAGACGCGTGGCCTTCTGAAAAAAATCAACTCTGTGCTCCAGAAAATCACAGACCCCATCCAGCCCAAAGTGGCTGAGCACAGGCCCCAGACCATGAAGAGACTCTCCTATCCCTTCTCCCGGGAGAAGCAGCATCTGTAAGTGAGGACCCCCAACCTGCTCCCCAAAGGGTCCTGTGCGTGGGGATTTCACCTTCTAGCATGAGAAATGCAGATTGATTATCTGCCCCCCCGCCAAAGAAGAGCGTGTTCTTGTTTTTGTTTTTTTTGAGACGGAGTCTCGCTCTGCCGCCCAGGCTGGAGTGCAGTGGCCGGATCTCAGCTCACTGCAAGCTCCGCCTCCCGGGTTCACGCCATTCTCCTGCCTCAGCCTCCCGAGTAGCTGGGACTATAGGTGCCCGCCACCTCGCCCGGCTAGTTTTTCGTATTTTTCAGTAGAGACGGGGTTTCACCATGTTAGCCAGGATGGTCTCGATCTCCTGACCTCGCGATCCGCCCGTCTCGGCCTCCCAAAGTGCTGGGATTACAGGCTTGAGCCACCGCGCCCGGCCGAGCGTGTTCTTGTAAGAGCTTGGTGGTTGCTGAGCCCAGAAGACGTCGTGGAAATGATTTCTAAGATCACTGTTAACTGAGGAGTTAGGAGGACACAGAATCTCGTTCTGCTTGGCGACACAGGAAAAACTTCTTTGGCCTGTGTGAGGACCCCAAAGCAGTGGTCTGGACATGCCTTCCCACCCGCTCCCTGCCGCCGCCACCCCACCCCGCTCCAGGGTCTGGCTAACGAGGCCTCCTGCAGTCCAGGTAGCCTTGAGCCCAAGTGAGTCTCACTCCTTGTGGCAGAAATTGAAAAGCATCCCTAGGCAGGAGGCCTGAGGCCCCAGGGACTCACCGCCAGCTGGCTTGCCTGGCAGGGCCATGCCTATTCTGGAACCTTCCTTCCTCCTCCGCTCCCGAGGGCAGTGGGGCGTAGCCACCTGGGTCAGCAGTGACTGCAAGGCCTCTGCGGGCCTCACCGGGCAGAGCTGGAGCGTGGGCAGAGGTGGGAATAGAAAGCTTGAGCCGTGGGAACCCAGACGGACTTTGGATGGAAGTTCAAGGGGCAGGAGGGCTCCTGGACAGTGCCGGCCTCACAGGGTCGGGGGCGTGGAAGAGCAGACAGGGAGCTCACAGGGGCCCTTGCTCATAAATGTAGTAGGGGTGGAGCCATGAGCATCACAGGATGCTTTAACCAGGTCCTCATTCCTAGAGGGGACAGGACATGCCACCAGAGAGAAAGAAGCGACCCCCAAGCCCAGCCCTTTCCTCCAGCTCCAGAACAGGGACTTGGGACATTAGAGGAAACCGCCCTCCTTCCAGGACCCCCACCAACCTCCCTCGTCTCTGCCCTGGGTTGACTGTCAGCCCTACTGCCTGGCCAGGGCTGGGATCACCTCCAGGCTCTGTGGAGGTGGAAACCCAGGCACCCTCCCCAGCTCTCCCCCAAGAGCCTTGGAGCGCAGGGAGAGCAGGGAGTGTGTTCCCAAGATGCCCCCCCACCCTCAGGAAGCCTTGGGCCATCCCTATGCAGCCCATCGGGACCCAAACCATTGGAAGGGAGATTGTTTTCAAGGTTGGAACTGTCTGCCTGTGGCAGTGATACTGCCCCTGTCCCCCACCTTGTTGAAGCAGAGGCTTTCAAAACTGCCCGCTGAGGATGTCACCAAAAGGAAGCAGGGATCTTCCGGGGGGGCTGTGTGGGGGGGTGGGGGGCTGGGGGGTGGTCTGCCCATACTTGCCTCTTAGGTCACTTCCCACCTGTGTGGGTCTCAGGCTGCGCCCGGGTGCAGGGGCGGTGAAACAGACTGTTCCAAATGCCTAGGGGCGGACGGGTCATACCTGGCGCGCGGACAGAGTTCCGTCCATTTCGCAGTCGCCGCTAATGGGGACAATATGGTTTCCCGGGGCCTTGAAACCCGGAGAACCACGGGCTCTGGTGAACTGTGTCTTATTTCCTTCCTGGTATTTCCACAGGTTTGACCTGTCTGATAAGGATTCGTTTTTTGACAGTAAAACCCGGAGTACGATTGTAAGTATCTCGCGCGCCTGGAAACGGCTCCCTGGCAAGGTGGCCCTGGGGATCCAGATGATAATTTCATTTTGGTGAAACTCCTCCCGGTGGAAACCGGCTCTAATTGTCTGTGACAGAAATAATTAGAATAATGAAAGGGAGAGGGCAGCGAGGGGCCCAGGGGATAGTCGTGCCCCAGGCTGGGGCAGCTCAGAGGAAGGGAATAAGCACAGAGCTCGGGAAAGCAGGAGGGAAGCCAGACCCCTGGAATGATTTCAGAGGTCGGTGTTTCTGGATCTGTGCAGCTCCCAGCACATCTCTCAGAGCCTCTTCGTGGTGGGGTTGTACGTGCCTGACCATCAATCCACGATGCGGGGCTTTCGGGGCAGGCAGGTGTGGGCAGGAGGGAGGGGGTGATGGAGGCGAAGGCATGTGGGTTGAGATCTCTTTCCAGGCCTTTGCCAGAGGAGCCAACTGAGGTTTGAAATCTGAACAGGCCACCCTGCCCTACTCAAGGCACTGGCTCCGTGTTTATCCAACCTGTCCACCAGCCAAGCTAGGGCTGTGCATGGCTCAGGACCCAACTTCAATCTAAACAAGAAATTAACCTGGCAGCCAAACTGTTGCTGTTGTTCTCTCTTCCCCGCCCAGAAAGCCCAGCCTGGTTGGGCAGAGACAGAGAGCTGGGAGGAGGCAGCTCGACCTTGTCCAGACGACTGCTCCTCATGACCACCACCTGAGACTGGCAGGCAGCCAGCGGGAGGGTGGTGCAGGTCGCAGCAGCACGGGGGTTCTGAGCCACTGCTGGGACAGGCAGATCTGGGGCGGGGAGGAGGGGATCTCTCTCCTAGAGACCCTGGAGGCCAGTTTCTACATGGCCAACATGCTCCAAAGAAACTGAGAATTCATGGCTTTGGCCTTGGTTAGTCGGGCCTAATAGTCATCAAAATCCAACAGCATGTAGGGTTGGCTGAGGTTCTAGGCAAAGGCGTGGAGGAGTAACAGCCCTTCCCCACTCCTCTCCTCCACACCATTCACTCTCTCCTGGCATTGGGGTGGCCCAGTGTGCAAGTGGATAGGAGTCAGAGAACAGCAGTGCTCGATAGGGAGAGGCCCACTGTGCTGGTCTTGGGTTTTAGACCTTTGGCCTGTAGGTACTGGGGAGCCATAGAAGGTTGTGGAGCAAGGTTGAGGATATGGTGAGATCTGTTCCAGAAGGATCACTGCCAGTGACCAGCTGTGGGAGGGCAGGTGACTGGTAGATGAGGGCTCATGGCAGTGGTCATCAATGGGGGCCACAACTACATGTGGAAGGCAGGAGGTGGTTACAAGAGAATCGGCAAGGTCAGGACTGATTAGATCTGAGGGATGATGGGGAGGGAGCCATGGAGAACAGCTGAGTGGGTGATTCCTTCCTTCATTCAGCAAGGATGTATTGGGTACCTGCTGTGTGCCCGAACCTGGTGGAAGAAAAGAGGCACTGAGGACATTTATAATCTGGCAGGTGGGGAGAGGCAAGCCAAGCTGGAAGACAGAGCCGCCGGGAAGGTGGTGGCTTTAGGGCCTGGTTGTTAACGAGACCCTGGACCTATTCCAATCTGAAGGGGACAAGTGCTTCTAGGAGAAGGAACAGCCAGGGCGGAGGCCCTGTGGCTTCAGGAGTGGTTTTGGAAAGTGAGAGAGGCAGCCAGGGGGCAGGATTGTTGGGACGGGTGGGTCCGGTGGAGGCAGAGGAGAAGAGGTCAGATGGTCTGGGCCTGGGGACACTGGAAGGACGTTGGCCTTGCCTGAGAGAGTAGAGGCAGAATTGGTGTGCTCTGAAATGCACATCTGCATAGCAGGACCAGTTCTTCTCACCCCAGTTTACAGATTGAAAAACTGAGGCTGGGGTGGTGATGTCATTGGTCCAAAATCACACAGCTGCAAATGGCAGAGCTGGCACCAGGGTCCAGGCAGACAGACTCCCGAGCTGGAGCTGCGGAGGCCACCAAACAAAATATTTCTCTAGTCAAGGGGCAGGCGGCTGGGGTGGGATCCCTTCAGCAGGGCTCTGCCCAGGCTCCGGGAACCCAGAGCCCGATGGTGGCCACCTCCTGCCGCCGTGGGGAATGGATCCCAAGGCCCGCCTCACCGCCACCACCCCCGATCCCCCAGAGTCCTAGAACATTCAGGGTTGTGTCCCGGGGTGGTGCTGTTCCAACTCAGCTCTCAGCACTAGGGTGCTGTAAACCCACCAGGCAGGGTATGTGGCACAGCTGTGACACGGGACACCAGCATTAGGCCCAGGAGAGCATAACAGTGCTTTGCTGGGACCAGCTGCCATCACTCCCAAATGAAAGTGGGAAGTGAACGATGGGAACTGCAGGTGGTACCTGTTTCTCCCTGAGAATCTCAAGCCTTTGACAGTGTTGAGAGCCCTCAGCTGGGTCAACCCTCCCTGAATAAAGGCCGTTGTCTTTCCTTGGAAAATAGCACCAAAGAGGTCTTCATGGGTAATGTGTGACCAGGTCCTCTCCAGCCACAACAGACTGTTTCTGCTGGTGGGAGGTGCCTTCAGTAACTACTCACCCCTCCTTCTTGTCTCTGCAATAGGTCTATGAGATCTTGAAGAGAACGACGTGTACCAAGGCCAAGTACAGCATGGGTAAGCATGTTTTTGGGGCTTGAGATCAGCGTTGGTCTCCAAGTGGGAATCTCGCCTCCGAGTCATCTCTGTGGGAGGCAGGCAGCCGGCTTGGGGTGTTTAAGAGGGTTTTGATTTAAGCCTGTGTAACAGTTTCAGACAGGAGGGCTGGGTTGGGAGCGTGCAGGGCGGTTTTATGGCCCAGCACTTTTAAACACAAACGCATCCTTCACTTTGGCCTGAGCGGTTTGTGAGCTGTGTGGACAGACTCTCCCTGCAGGGGCGGTAAATCCAGGCTGGAAATAGACCAGCGTTAGGGGTGACTGGGGGTTCCTGGCCCTCTCTTAACCCTCACGGTCCCGTGGGAAGTAATCGGGGTTCCAGCCAGGGGACATCGTGCGGTGTTCCAGACCCTTAAAAGCTCACCAGGGCTTGCTGAAATCAGGGCCCCCTGACGAGGCACCACCAGGTACAGACAGCCTGATTCCAGAAGCTGCCACAAAACCATCCTGACCAGGCTCCCTGGGTACCAGTTTCCAGAACCCCTTAAGCCATAGATACAAAATCTTCCTGATTAAATTGTGTAGCTGGGAACCTCCCCCGTCAGTAGGTCCCTTGCCCACAGCTGCAGGCAGTTTGTGAAAGCCAAAACATTGCAGAGCAAAGGAATGCCTTTTCCGGCCTCTCCTCCCCTCCTTCTTGAGCTGTCTTTTGCCCTGCTGAGAGCCATGCCATAGGGTAGCATCCATCACTCTGTAGAAGCCTCTGAAATGACGAGGCCATGGCTCCCCGGGGACACAGCAGGTCTGGTGAGAGCTGGAGTCTGTGCATACGGGAGGGACCATCTTGCTGCCTTGGCTTCCTGTGGTGGCAGGAATGCCGTGGGAAGTAAAAATGGAGAGCAGTGGGAGTCAACGGCTCAGAACTTGAATTCCTGGGGTCAGTCCCGGGAGACAGAAAGAAGACAAACCCTTGACTGCTCGGGTGGCTGCTTGACCCCCGACCGTATGGCCTGTGGTCACTCACAGGGATACCCTTGCAGGCCCGAAGTCTCTAAGTCCATGTCCTAAGTCAAGGGGAGTGTGGAGGAGTCCCATCCAGGGTCAAAAGGACTGAGATCCTCTAGAATGGCCAAGCCCTAGTCCACACGACTGCAGTGAGGTCAGGCAGAAAAGAAGGTGACGTCGGGAGTTTGGGTTTTTGAAATTGCTCCTCTAGGTCGCTGCTGCCAGGGCACAGCCTTGGAAAGGTCACTAGAGGTAAGGAGGAGGTGTGGTTCTGGTCCCAGGGCTAGGTCTTGGACCTCAGTTTCCCCCTGGGTCTCTGCAGCGTTCCTTCCAGTAGAAACGTGTATGGTTGCAGTAGAAGTCCAGCAGCTTCGGGCTGCATGGCCTGGGCTGGCTCTCTGCCCGGGTTGGTCCCTGGGGACATGGGGTCTCTGTGCTCCCACCGGTTTTGTGGCAGGGCTGGTTCCCTGCACCTGGTGACAGGGCGGATACACGTGGGTCCTCCTCTTCAGCCCTGCTTCACCACGGCACCTTGTCTGAGAGTTGACCCACCTCTGAGTTCATCCTCAAGTACGTCACCCACCAAGCTGTGTACCATAGTCTTGCAGGATGAGCAGGGTGGGGCTGGCTGGGGGATTTAGGAACTGTGATGAGAAAAGGCCTTCCAGATAGAGGGAGTGGCACGTGCAAAGGCCCTGCGGCAGGCAGCACCAGGCTAGCAGCATTCCAGCAACAGGAAGGAGGCCAGCAAGCCTGGATCAGGTCCTATGTCCACTTTCTATTGCAGACAAACTTTTCACTCACACATGTGACTTAAACCCCTTCCTCTGGTTTTGATTTCTAAGCATCCCTCAGGTCCCCTGATCATTCCAGGTCACTGACCACAGAGATGGCCCATTTTTGAGGGGACTCCAGGAGGTCACTTTCCCACCGCTATCAGGTGGAGTCTCAGAGGGTGGGCCGCCCAGGCTGCTGTGAAAAACGCTCTTACTGCCTAGGAAGCCTCTTCAGCCAAGCAGGCGGTTCCATGAGCAGCAAAGGGTCCCATGGAAACGCCCCCACCCGGCTGGACCCCCACGATGTGTTTGGAGCAAGATCAGATTTCCAGGAAACCCTTTCCTACACGTGGCCCTAGCTCTCCCGTCCTCTCTCGCAGTCTCCTGGGGCTGGGTGCCTGCGTGCACACGTGTTAGGACACACAGGCGTGGTGTTTTATAATGTGCCCATGGTGTTTTTTTATGTGGCCCTGGGGGCCACATAAAAAGGGGCCCCACCAGCATTCCACTGCCTCCAGGAGCACTGGCCGGCCGTGAGTCCGCCAGAATCGCTGGCCACCTGCGCTTGCTGCCCCAAATGTAGCTTTGGTCCTGTCAGGCCTTTCCACATCACTAATAGCCAATGTATAAACAGGGCAAGGCGAGGGAAGAAAGAAGGACTCCGCCCTTCTAAGTAAAAGGCGGAAATGTGGGAAGTATGGTAAGTGTGGGCCTCCTCCGGTTTTCCCAATCAATCTAAAATCTAATTCCGAATTGTATGTGTGTTTTCTGACACCATCAATTTTTCCATCCGTATGTTTCCTCATGATTCAGCTTCTCTAACCGCTTACATCCCACCTTCCCCATCTGCAGGCTTGCCTCGGACAGGTGGGGGGGCTGGTGAATCGGAGGCTTGGGGTGACAGTGAAGCCACGGTCCGCTCACACCGCCTGCCTCTGAGACGGAGTCGCCTCTTGGGGTTTTCTCTGTGTCTTCCTAATTCTGCCAATCGAGCATGTGTTCCGTCATCTCCTAGTTGATAGATCAATAACCCGGCTGTGCCCTGTCATTCCTGGGGAAGAAATCCCAGAGGTGGCGGGCTCTGTGTAGTCAGGTTCGTTTCATTTTGAGAAGCTCTTGGTGGCTGAGACAGCCCTGTGACCGCTGTGACTTTACAATGTGAAGCGGGAGACCCGCCTGTCCCGTGACCTTCTCTCTGCCTCTGTTTTTAAGGCATCACGAGCCTGCTGGCCAATGGCGTGTACGCGGCTGCATACCCACTGCACGATGTAAGTAACCTGAACACACGATTTATCTCTGCGTCATTTGACTCCCCAGATCCCTCCGGGCCACACCCCCCGGGGAGCTGTAATTATCCTGTGGTCACAGCTTCCTGCTTGGCTCCCGCTGTAAATGTCAACTGTACACAGGCCTTCCCTGTTCCCCGGGTGGGGACCAAGAATTTACACACAGGGCCATCTTTTCTCGCAGAACAATCCCACCAAAACGGGGGCACGGGTGGCAGGTGCTCTGCCTTGACGTCCTCTGAACCTCACAGCCAGTGGGTCCACAGAATGTCTTCCCTGGCCCGGGCTCCCTACCCCCGGCTGGTCCGGGTCTCTGGCAGAATGACCAGGGCTCTGTACGTGTCTATTTCTGCAGAGCAAGTGGCCAACTTCCTGAGCTGAAGCTCCAGATCCCACTGGTATCCCTTTGACAAATATAGCTGACATGGGGTGGAGAGAGACAGAAGGTTGTCTCTTGTTGTCTCTATGGAAACAGGGACTTAAGTTCACAAGGGCACTGGGAATGGGCCTCGGGGCCTGAGCAGTGTGGGAATACCAGACAGAGGAGCTCTGAAACTTTGCAAATGTGCAAAGGCCAGGAGCCAAGAAGCAGGAGAGAAGAGAAGGGACAGGCCTGGGACTAAGGAGACCCAGATTCCAGTCCCAGCCACTTACCCACTCTTCTGCCTTGAGTGGTGGAGTCGGCCCCTTGTCTCACTGAGCCTCAGTGTCCCCATCTGTGGGTCAGGAATCAGAACTAGTCCTAACTCCTCTTTTATTTATTTATTTATTTTATGTGTGTGTGGTTTTTTTGGTTTTGTTTCGTTTTCTTTTGTTTTTGAGACGGAGTCTTTCTCTGTCACCCAGGCTGGTGTTCAATGGCATGATCTCAGCTCACTGCAACCTCTACCTCCTGGGTTCAAGCAATTCTGCAGCCTCAGCCTCCCAACTAGCTGGGACTACAGGCACGCACCACTACACCCAGCTAATATCTTGTATTTTTAGTAAAGACCCGGTTTCACCATGTTGGCCAGGCTGGTCTCAAACTCCTGACCTTAAGTGACCCGCCCACCTCAGCCTCCCAAAGTGCTGGGATTACAGGCGTGAGCCGCTGCGCCCAGCCTAATTCCTCTCTTCTTGAGGAAGAAACGCTGGATTAGACAAACGTAAGGTGCAGGGATCCCGCAGGGCAACCCAGAGGCGTCTTCTCCAGAGGGTTGATCCCAAGGGAAGGAGTCTGGGCAGATCTGCCGCCCGTCACCTCGTGGCCTCCCTGTCAGGGCCTCCTCCTCCCTGTAGGTCCGGGGATTGGGGTGTTTGAGCAGCCCCATTTCCTCCCTTCGTATGTTCACACGTGCTGTTCCTTCTACAGTACTCTTCCCTGCCCCACCCCACCCCAGGCGGACAGATGCTCCCACACCAAGCCTTCCTGTTGCCTTCCTCCCCAGGACTAGTGGCTTCTTCTTCCCTTCTCTGGGCCTCGGATGGTCCCTGACCTGCAAAGACACCGCCGTCTGACCACTTTAGTTATGTGTGTCATCTCAAGGAAGCCCCAGCGCTCAGCACTTAATAGGTGCTCAGTAAACGTGGTGTGGATTCGGATTGGACTGAGTCAGTTTGCCTCGGCCAGTGACCTGCTGTCTGGGGAGGTTCCAAGGGCAGGGCTCAAGCCCCTAGACCGTGGCAGTGGCTCCGGGTTCCTGCCCTGAAGCCCTGAGTCTGGAGGAGCCCACTCCTCCCCTCTGTCAGGCTTTCCTCCAGAGGACCCAGCCGGTCTGGCTGTTCTGCTCCACCCTGTGCAGGCTCTGGCTGGGTGCCAAGAAGACACAGCCCTGCCTGGCACAGCCCATGATCCCAAGAAGGCAGCCTAGAGCTACATCCATGCTCCCGATTGACCTTTAAGCAGGTAATCCCTGCTGAGAGGTTGAGTACCGAAGCCAAAATGTTTCCGGCCCTTCCTGCCTGTTTTGAGTCAGCCCTTTAAGTCTTAAAAGGGAAAGGGGAGAAATGAACGTATTTAATCTCCTACTGTGTGCAGAGCCCTCTGTTTAGAAGAAACTGTACCTCATATAACCTGTTCAGACGCAGAGACTCAGAGAGGTTTAGTAACTTGCCTGAGGTCGAACAGCCCCCGGGGAGGAGCCGGGGCCAAAAGCCTTCCCTAGTGACACTCTGCAACTCCGGCGCCTCACTGCGTACCCACCTCATCCCGTCACGGAGGCCAAATGCATCCCTCTTCTTGGCGGCCACTCCTGCATTTGTCTTAGGGATTGACTGTCAACAGTTTAAACTGACTGGTGCAAACCTCCCTCATCAGCTGGATCTATTTCTTGTCAGAGAGCCAGCCTCACAAGAAGCATCTCCAAGATCCTTGCAGAGAATCTCCTCTTTCAAAATCTTCATCGTGCCTTATGCAGTCATGTGGGGTCTGTTCCCACTTTAAAGATGGAGAAACAGGCTGGAGGGGCTCCGGCCACTTGCCCAGGGGTGCACAGTCCAGAAGGAGTGGGACCCAGAAGCCCTGGGCTGTGGGTGTCAGGTATCCTTAGGGAATCTAGAATTTTACAGCCACAGATTTTCCATACAACTGAAGGGCACCCATGCTGCTAAGTACCACAACTGATGTTTAAGCATTTGGGGAGGTGACTGGTTCTGGCCTGAGCCGTGTGAACCCATGTCCTTACCCAGAACACTGACTGAAGGGAAGTTCAGGCTGGCCTCGGCGGCCATGGTGAGGCTCTCACTGCATGCTATGTAGTTCCGGCTTTACATTTTTACTTCCATCTTCCTCACCATGAAGCTGTCCTGCATCCTACCCCATTCCAATCCTGTGCTTATTGCATCCATCCATCCATCCATCCATTCATTCATTCATTCATTCATTCATTTGTCAAAAATATCTGGTCGGTTGGGCACAGTGACTCATGCCTGTAATCACAGCACTTCGGGAGGCTGAGACGGGCGGATCACCTGAGGTCAGGAGGTCGAAACCAGCTTAGCCAGCATAGCAAAACCTCATCTCTACTAAAAATACAAAAATTAGCTGGGCATGGTGGCACATGCCTGTAATCCCAGCTACTTAGGAGGCTGAGGCAGGAGAATTGCTTGAACCCGGGAGGCAGAGGTTGCAGTGAGCCAAGATTGTGCCGCTGCACTGCACTCTGGGAGACAGAGCAAAACTCCATCTCAGAAAAAAAAAAAAAAAAAAAAAAGAGTATCTGGTAAATGCCATTGCCAACCAGATAACAACCTGGTAGAACTGTGTGTGGGTAAGAGTCACGTGCTCCAGGCGAGACCCTGAGGAAGTCTCCTGGAATCAGAGTGTATCACCTGAACTGAAAGGACTTTGATATTTATGTCGGCTACTTGGTGACTTTTTGGCTTTCCTCCTGACTAACATCTCCCTGCCTGAGGTCCCCAGCGTAGGGACCTCCATATAAATGAGACGCTGCTGGGATCGTGTGGCTGTCTCATCCACGTCAAGAGACTGGGAAACACAAAGGAATCAGGCTTGGGTGGGTGAGGACCCCCTGAAGACTCAGGAGGAAATTGGTTAAACTGCTCTCAGAGCATCTTGGTTCCAAGACCACCCGCACTGGGTCGCTTGCTTGAGTGTGTGGTCAAGTTGTCCCCACCTGGCAGGGGTTACAGGAGTCATGGAAGTTGCCAGTGAGTGCAGAGGGCACTGGACAGACCCCCAAGAGTCCCATAGCTTTGTCTGCCTGGATATTCTTAAAACTCGTTGGCCAGGCCAGGCGCCGTGGCTCACACCTGTAATCCCAGCACTTTGGGAGGCCGAGGCAGGCGGATCACTTGAGGTCAGGAGTTTGAGACCAGCCTGGCCAACACGGTGAAACCCCGTCCCTACTAAACATACAAAAATTAGCTGGGTGTGGTGTTAGTCCCAACTACTTGGGAGACTGAGGCAGGAGAATCACTTGAACCCAGAAGCAAAGGTTGCAGTGAGCCGAGATCACGCCACTGTACTCCAGCCTGAGCGATAAGACTGAAGGGAAGTTCAGGCTGGCCTCGGCGGCCATGACGAGGCTCTCACTGCATGCTATGTAGTTTCGGCTTTACATTTTTACTTCCATCTTCCTCACCGTGAAGCTGTCCTGCATCCTACCCCATTCCAGTCCTGTGCTTATTGCATCCATTTGTTCATTCATTCATTCGTCAAAAATATCTGGTTGATTGGGCACGGTGGCTCATGCCTACAATCTCGAAAAAAAAAAAAACCATTAGCCAGGCCAGGCCAGCCATGCCCTGAACCTCGACAGAGCCATTCCCTTGCTGCTCCTCCCCAGTTACTTATGTCAACTGTAGTTATTTGGGGCTCACTGAATGACAGTTCAGTATCATTTTGAGTGTCTGCGAGGGTAACGTGCACACAGCCATAGGCAGTCTAGACCCATGATGTCCCAAGACGGGCTTTCAACCCTTACACCTTTCTCTTCCTTTAGGTTTGAAGGTCTGGATCCAAGTCAGGGTCTGACCAATCTTAGCTGTGTGTCCTCAGAAATATCAGTTTGCTTCTCGGAGCCTCAGTGTTTCCATCTGTAAAATGGGAGTGTTGGACTCACTGATCTAGACGACAGTGACCATGTCATTTACTGTCCCTCTTGGGATGCCCCACAGCGAAAGGGAGCAAGACACGGACTGTCCCAGCAGAGTGGGACGTATGCGCACCCTATGATAGGACTCTTCCTGCCTCCGAAAGACCCCTTTCTTTTTTTTTTTTTGAGACGGTCTCGCTCTGTTGCCCAGGCTGGAGTGCAGTGGCGCAATCTCGGCTCACGAAAGCCCCCTTTCATTTGTGTTTCTGGTTCCAAGGACCCGACCGTGGATCCTCTCCTAGAGTCCCCTCGTGTCGAGGGAAGAGGCCGCTCAGGCCATCCTGGAGGCCAACAGGGACTGGCATGGCCTTTCTATCGGAACAGGGGGCACACCCGGGCAACCCTCCTGCTCTCTGTGAAATGTTGTCCCAGGATGATCTAATCTGTGTCAACGACGGCTGCTGGGGTTTGTGTTTTGAAACATTATGGATGTGAGTGCCTCCAAAGCTCCACCGGATGATAAGAAAGTCCCTTTCCTCTTTTTTAACAGGGAGACTACGAGGGTGAAAACGTGGAGTTCAACGACAGAAAAGTAAGTTGATGGAGCGGAGCAGGAGGCGGCTCTGTCGAGGCTGCAGGTATTCTGGGGCGGGGGTGGGTCTACAGCTGGACCGAGGACTCGCTGGCCTCCAGGGCCTCCCCAGGGCGCTCGCTGCAGGGGGCTGAGCAGCGGGTGTCCCCTCTCGCCGTTTCAGGAGAAAAGTCCCTGAGCTTTGTGTGGCTGGTTTGTTTTCCTCTTTCTGATTCTCAAAAGTGCCCTCGGCAGGTGGCTGTGAGCATGGGAAAGGGAAAGCCGTCCTCCCAGAGCCCACTCCTCACACGCTGTCCTTCCCTTATCTTCTCAGGACAATCTGAACTGTGCCTGGGCCTCCAGCAGTCCTTGCTGGCACGTGGCCTAATCCCACAGGGCTCCCAGGCAAATAAACTTGGGAACCACTGAGACCAGGTGCACAGAGAACAATGGCCCCCAGCAGCGCGTTGGGGAAACCTGTTTGATGGTGGTCAATGAAGCATTTATCAAATTACCTCACCTGGAACCCTTTTAAATGGATAAGTTGTCGAGTTAGTGTTCCAGGGAACACACTTTGGGAAACACTGGGTGACCCCTTTATTCTTTTTTTTGGTGGGGGGATGGAGTCTCACTCTGTCATCCAGGCTGGAGTACAATGGTGCAGTCTCGGCTCTCTGCAGCCTCTGCCTCCTGGTTCAAGTGATTCTCCTGCCTCAGCCTCCAGAGTAGCTGGGATTACAGGTGCCTGCCGGCACACCCTGCTAATTTTTGTATTTTTAGTAGAGACGGGCTTTCGCCATGTTGGCCAGGCTGGTCTTGAACTCCTGGTCTCAAGTGATCCACCTGCCTCGGCCTCCCAAAGTGCTGGAATTACAAGCGTGAGTCACCGCACCCAGCCAGCCCCTTTATTCTTTAGTGGCTGTTGCTAATCCCTCACTCCCCAAAGCGTCAGTCCCCACCCTCTGCCCCTCGCTCTGAGCATGGGAACTCCACCCTTCCCACCCAGGCTCCCCAGGAAGCTCTGCTCCTCTACCGTGCGCCCCAAAAGAACATGTCCCCACCACAACCATTTGCTCTTCCCTTCTCCCCCATGGGCCCACACCCGATACCAGCCTTCCCCCCAGGTCTCCACGTCAGCCTCTGCTCCCCAAATGTGCCCAGCCTTCCCTCCCAGGAAGCAGTCCTTCCTAGACCTTGCCTCAACTGCTGGTCCTTCCACAGGTGGTGGGTAGAGATGCTTCCCTGACAACCTCACAATAGTGGCCTTGTCCCAATTCCCAGGGGCCAGGACCTCTGTGTATGGAACGTTCCTCCTTTCAGCCTCCCCCCACAGGCCCCCATACATGTTTTTAAATCTTTGGTACTTGATACAGCTTGCCTGCCCGGGAGTCCAGATGAAGATGCTATCTAACTTAGCACAAAAATTACATATTTGGTTATTTTTAGTGTAACATCTGGCATCGTCTGAGACCCCATGACTTGCAGAACTCCCCACCCCGATCCTGTTGGAAAAGGAACATCCCCTCCACAGGCCTGTCCTGACCAATGCCAGCCTCAGAGTCCAGCCCCCTTCATTCCTCCGCACCCCTCTGGCGCTTAGCAGATGCCTATCCTCCCCCTAAAGATGCTTCTTCCATGGACACCAGCAATTCCTTTCTGGCTGAATTCAGTTCTCTGGGTCACAGGCCCCTGAACCCTACCCCCTCCTCCCCCTCCTCCATTCTCAAGCCACACTGGCTGCTTTTCTAATCTCAGGATTGCTTGGCTGATGGTCACATCAGTGCCAGGACTAGCTCATTCAGTTACTTATTCATTCAAGAAATACTTACTGTGCACTACTGTGTGCCAGGCCCAGCAAACACAATGTGGGTTTGTCCAGGCCCAGCTGTTTACCTGGAATGCTTCCCACTCCCCATTTAATTTTAGGTCCTAGCAGTGGATACAATGCCTGGCCCATGGGGGTAGTCAGGGAGTAATGAATGACAGTTTGGTGGATGAGTGGATTAAGGGATGATAAATGGATGGATAGAGATGGAGATGAATAAGTGTATAATGGATAAATGGATGGAGGGATGGAGGGATGGATGGATGGATAAATTACAAATGAGCGAATGGGTGGATGGATGAATAGATGATTGATGGGCAGGTGGGTGGACGGATGGGTGGTGGAGAGATGAATGATGATTGATGGATAAGTGGGTGAGTGGATGGGTGAATGGGTGGATGGACAGATGGATGGTTGATGGATGGGTAGGTGTGTGGGTGGATGGATGGATGGATGCTGAAGGGATGAATGATAGATGATGAGTGGGTGGGTGGATGGGCAGCTGATGGAAGGATGAATGATGGATGATAGGTGGGTGAGCAGATAGGTGGATGGATGGATGCTGGAGGGATGAATAATCAATGATGGATGGATGGATGATAGGTAGGTGAGTGAATGGGTAGATGGGTGGATGGATGCTGGAAGAATGGATGATGGATGATGGATGATGGGTGGGTGGGTGGGTGGGTGGGTTGATGGATGGATGCTGGAGGAACGAATGATGGATGATGGGTGGGTGGATGGATGATGGAAGGATGAAGGATGGATGAAGGGTGGGTGGATGAATGATGGATGGATGGTTGGATGGATGATAGGTGGGTGGGTAGGTGAATGGATGGATGCCTGAGGGATGAATAATTAATATGGATGGATGGATGGCCATTGGAAGGATGAATGATGGATGCTGGAGGAATGAATGATGGGTGATGGGTGGGTGGGTGGGTGGGTGGATGGATGGATGGATGGATGAATGAATGAATGGATGGATGAGTCCTGGAGGAATTAATGATGGATGATGGGTTGATGGGTGGATGATGGAAGGATGAATGATAGATGATGTAGATGATGTGTTGGTGGGTGGGTAGGTGAATGGATGGATGCTGGAGGGATGAATAATTAATGATTTTTGGATGGGTGGCTGATGGAAGGATGAATGATGGATGCTGGAGGAATAAATGATGGCTGGTGGGTGGGTGGGTGGGTGGATGGATGGATGGATGGATAGATGGATGGACGGGTGCTGGAGGAATGAATGATGGATGATGGGTGAATGGTGGCTGATGGAAGGATGAATGATGGATGCTGGAGGAATAAATGATGGCAGATGGATGGATGGATGGATGGATGGATAGATGGATGGACGGGTGCTGGAGGAATGAATGATGGAGGATGGATGGATGGATGGATGAATAGATGGATGGACGGGTGCTGGAGGAATGAATGATGGATGATGGGTAGGTAGATGGATGATGGAAAGAAGAAAAGGAGGGAGGATTAGATGGGTGTTTGGGTCCTGACTCAGAGCTGCGGGGAACTCTGCATTCTGCCGCGATGGCTCCACATCACAGCCTGGCACTGAGTTTTTGCCTTTCCAGTGACAGACCCCATGCCTTCTCCATTATTGTTGCCATCAGTGGCAGGAGCCCCGTGTGCCTGACCCTGGGTACCTCACAGGGCAGAAAGGAAATTGCAGCCAAGGACATTTTCCTGTGCTGAGCTGGAGGGTGGGCAGAAAAGAGTGTAGGGAAGTTTAAGCAGGAGGCAGGTCTGGGCCACAGCAGGGCAGCCATCACTCTTGGTCTGATCATGGGACCACAAACACGTAGGAGTACTTGAGAGTGAGCGCCTTCCTCCAGGATCTTGAGCGAGTTCACACCCAACAGAACTAAACCCCGGGTGAGCAAGACATGCCCCCAGAGTTGTCTTTGAATGTGCAGAAGGTGTTCTGCTGGGCAGCTGCTGCCTCCTCCTGCCAGGGCACTGGAAGAGTAGGACCACCTGGGCCCTGTGGGGGAGCGGGGTGGCTTGGGTTGTGGGGGATTGACTCCAGGTGTGGACTGAGGTCTGCTGCATCCCTGGGCTGGACTGGGAGCCACAGAGCCCAACATGGTATTCATCCATCCATTTATCCATTCATTCAACAGTCACTTACTGAAAACCCGCAGGCCCTGTTGGAGGCATGGAGGGTGAGAAGGACCAGACAAACCTGGTCCCTCTGGTGCCTCTGTTCTAGAGGGAAAGGAAGGGGCAAGGGCAAGGATGTACACCAATTAAAGACTGCATCCATGTCACCAAGGGCCGGTGGCAGCCATGTGAGTCCTGGCAGGGGGTTTCGACAAGAGAGACGCCTGAGGGTTTTTGGGATCCCTCCAGGGTCCGGATGCTGGAAGGCTCCCAGGTCACAGTGACTGAAGCCACCTGGCTGGCCTGGTTCTCCAGTCCACAGCCCCCATGCCTGGACACCCCCCTGCCTGCTCACCGAGGCTAAGGTGCCACCTTGGAGTCCTTCCAGCACTAACAGTGGAGTCTTTAGTTGGATTTCTTTGCCTTGATGGTGCAGAGTGATTGATGTCACCTCTTGGCAGGAAGAAAAGTCCACCAAGGTCAAGTGGTTTATGTAGAAAGCTGGGGGTGGGCCCCCTCCACGCGTCTGTCAGAAGATGGTGGGAACCACTGAGGGCGGGTCCTTCCTCCACCCGTGCAGAACTATGTCCTTTCTCCCTGTCCCTGTCTTGCTCCCTCCCTCCTTCTGTCCCCATCTCCCTCCCTCACCTCTCTCTCCATCTCTGTATCTCTGTCTCTCCATCTGCCTCTGTCTGTCTCTGTCTCCCTCTCCTCCACCTCTCTCTCTCTGTCTCCCTGCATCCCTTCTTCTCTCTGTCTCTGTCTCTCCATCTGTCCCTCTCTCCCTCGCCCCCACCTTTCTCTTGTCTCTGTCTCAGTCTCTCTCCCTCTTTTCCTCCCTCCCCCTTCTCTCTGTCTCTGTCTCTGTCTCTCTCTCCTTCTCCCCTACCTCTCTCTGCCTCTCCCTCTGCCTCCTTCCTTCTCTCTCTGTCTGTCTCTCCCTCTCCCCACCTCTCTCTGCCTCTCTCCCTGCCTCTCTTCTTCTCTCTGTCTCTCCATCCATCTCCGTCTCTGTCTCTCTCTCCCTCTCCCCCACCTCTCTCTGTCTCTGACTCTCCATCTGTCTCTGTCTCTTTCCCTCTCCCCTACCTCTCTCTGTCTCTCTCCCTGCTTCTCTCCTTCTGTCTCTGTCTCTCTCTCCCTCTCCCCCACCTCTCTCTGTCTCTGTCTCTCCATCTGTCTCTGTATCTCTCTCCCTCCCCCCTACTTCTCTCTGTCTCTTTCCCTGCCTCCCTCCTTCTCTCTCTGTCTCTCCGTCTGTCTCTGTCTCTCCCTCTTCCTCCTTCTGTCCCTCTGTCCCCTCCCTCCCTCCTCCTCCCTCTCTGCCGCATCTTCCACCTATCTATGGCATAAATCAGCGGTTTGACTCTAGGTGAGGGGAGGAAGCTGCCCAGGTCAGCGATGGCTGCTCTGCTTTTGCAGAGGTGCAGCTCTGCTTCATCAAGGCTTGCTGGCCGAGGCCTCCCTATGTACACAGTGAAACTGTGGCCTTTTCATCGTTATCTGCGTAAGAAAACACACTGATGCAGAACCACCCGGTGCCTTCTGCACATCACGAACTCACAGGAGCCCATCTGCCTTCTCTCCATGCCCTGGGAGGAGAGATCCCATCCTTCAGTGTAAAGGAGGAGACAGGGATGGGGGAAGGGGTCTGCCCAGGACTCTGGATTCGGGGGTGGGGGAACCTGCCCAGACCGCAGACAAGTCACAAGCCCCTCCATAGCCATGCTCAGCTGCAGGTGATGCTGGTGGCTTCGAGGGGCTGTGCAGCAGCAGGCGGCCCCTCTGTGGATTTCAGAAACACGCCCTCCACCTGTGACTTTGGGTGGGGGCAGCTGTGGGTACGCCTGCGCTGTTTCCCTTCCCTGTTTGTCAGTGGGGGGGTTTCTATAGTGCACAGCCCCAGTGTTACCCCAGACGAGACGTTCAGGCACGCAAGGCTATGTCAGCTGTGGAGACGGCTCACATTTACTTCCCGCCCTCCAGACACTGGGAGGAGTTACGGAGGCTCCAAGGGGTTCCCTCGTCCCCCAGCTGTGATCTTGACTCTGAGTTTGGGAGGCAGCTTGACCCCAGAATGGGCTCTGAACTGAGGAGGAGGGCAGCTGCCCCGCCTCTGGCTGCTGGTGGGCAGCTACTCTGTCCCAGGACAGCCTCTGGGCCCCTCGCAGCACCTGCATCCTGTCTTCCCTGAGTGTGGCCCTGTCGCTGGGCTTTGAGTTGAGGTCTGTAAAGCGTTAACCACCCACACGCGTGGGTTTATTTTATTTTATTTTTTTACCAGCAGTCCTAACCCGGCGTCTTCCTCAGGACATCCTCTGCATGTTCACACAAGGCTTCCAATCCACCAAACTCATTACTGTCCCTGCCCAAAGCCTGGGGGGGTAACAGGGTGTGTGTGTCAATTTCATTTATTTCACGAAGCACTGTTAATCAGACAGCCCATCTCAGGAGATAAACCTCGAGTATCTTTGCATCCCATGAGAGTTTTTAAAATTTCGCCACTGGTACTTCTCTGCTCAAAACCCTGGTGGTTTTGTGCCCTTTATAAAGAATGGTTTGGTGTCTGACGGGGACGACCAAAAACCCTAAAGGTGAGAAGCCGTACAGCGTCCGGCCCATTTAGGTCAATTCCAGGTCAAATCACGAAGAGTTCACATTCCATAACCTGCCAGAAGCTTCTTTTCCATCCCCACGTTCACCTACAAAGGGAGGCCCGCTCTTGCTCGCACACAGCCCAGTCTCAGGAAGTGTTTGTGGGATGAATGAATCATGTCACGGAGGCTCAGTCCTCACTGCTGCGTTCCAAGGAGCAACCTCAGAGTGCCACATGGTCACCAACCCCACTGCTTCCTCCCCCTCAGCTCCTGTACGAAGAGTGGGCGTGTTACGGGGTCTTCTATAAGTACCAGCCCATCGACCTGGTCAGGTAAGAACGTGCTACAGCCTGCGGGAATCAAGTGCCTAGTCCGATGGCAGTTGGATAACGTCCGCCAACGTCCCCGTGGGTTTCTACCACTCTGAATATTCAGTACCTGGGAACGTGTTTGAACTCGAAGAGCTTGTGTAGGAGGACCCAAAATGTCCCTGCAGGGCTGAGAGCCTGGGCCAGCATTAGTTGAAGCAATTTATTCAAATTCCCTGGAGGTTGGGCCCTTTTTTGTCACATTTACCATCTCCTAAATTCACTGCCTGGCCTGGCCTCACTGGGCGGCTGGAGGGGTTTCCCGCTTTGAGATGTGGAGGGGAAGGAAAGAGCTGCCTCTGATGTGTAAGGATTTCTCCTCTCCCAAGAGGATCTCTGTCCCCACAGGGCAGGAAGGAGGGGCAGACCAGGTTAGGTAACCTGCCCACCAGAGCTCGGCTGGTAGAAATCCATTCAAGCCATCAAGGTGCCAACCACACTTAATATGAGGAGCAACTGGGTTTCTTGGAACCTCCCGGCCGAGGTGCTTTCCAGTCCTTACGCTGAACAGGGCTTGGAATGGAGCCCACAGCCCCAGGGGAAGTACACCCACACCCACCAGCGTGGGCCATCACACACAGAAATGCACCCACCTTCCCGGGGCACCACAGAGAAGGGGGGGCCAGGCGTGGTTGCTCACACCTGTAATCCTGGCACTTTGGGAGGCTGAGGCAAGTGGATTACTTGAGGTCAGGAGTTCGAGACCAGCCTGGCCAACATGGTGAAACCCTGTCTCTATTCAAAATACAAAAGTTAGCTGGCAGTGGTGGTGCATGCCTGTAATCCCAGCTACTAGGGAGGCTGAAACAGGAAAATAGCTTGAACCTGGGAGGCGGAGGTTGCAGTGAGCCGAGATCGTGCCACTGCACTCCAGCCTGGGTGACAGAGCAAGACTCCATCTCAAAAACAAATAAATAAATAAATGCAATGGGTGTGGTGGCGGGCACCTGTAATCTCAGCTACTCGGGAGGCTGAGGCAAGAGAATCTCTTGGACCCAAGAGGCAGAGGTTGCAGTGAGTCCAGATCGTGCCACTGCACTCCAGCCTGGGCAACAGGAGCAAAACTCCATCTCAAAAAAAAAAAGAGAAGAGGGGAGGGCTTATTAAAGCAGAGAGCACCCCCAACCTGATGGGGTGGCCCAGGACCCCACTTTCTGCTTCTCAGATAAGAGAACCAGTACCCCCGGTTTGAGTTGCTCCTTGCTGGGGAGGGCCGGGGGCATGTTTCCCTGCTAGTATTGAATGACAGTGGGCTTGACTCTGCTCTGCTCCCCTCGTGTAGGAAGTACTTTGGGGAGAAGATCGGCCTGTACTTCGCCTGGCTGGGCGTGTACACCCAGATGCTCATCCCTGCCTCCATCGTGGGAATCATTGTCTTCCTGTACGGATGTGCCACCGTGGACGAAAACATCCCCAGGTAGGCGGCAGCCCCCCCACCACCCCGCGGCACACACCAGGGAGCCCTCTCCTGCCATCCCAGCTGCACGATTCATTGGGACACTGGCCTGTCACTCCAATTCCTGTACACATGAAACCTCACGCCAAGCCACGAGCCGTCAGGAGGAAAGGACATGGTTCGAAGCCGTCTAGGAGTCTGGGTGCCCTTCTCAGGCCCATCTGTGCTAGGCTATGTTTTATTGTTAAGAGAAAGGCATAAAACAAACATCTGACCATTTTCATTCTTTGAAGGTTGTTATGGTTTGCTCGTTCCTTTTCACTGTTGGTCATTATGTGACAAGAAAGTTCTCTGTTTCCTTGTGTGCCCGGGAGGTGAGACATGGATGCCAGAGGCCTCGGTGCAGGCTGGCGCTCGTGGGAGGTGAAACTTGGATGCTAGTGGCCTCGGTGCAGGCTGGCACTTGCAGGAGGTGAGACAAGAATGCTAGAGGCCTTGGTGCAGGCTGGCACTCGCGGGAGGTGAGACATGAATGCCAGAGGCCTCAGTGCAGGCTGGTGCTCCCAGGAGGTGAGACATGAACACTAGTGGCCTCGGTGCAGGCTGGCGCTTGCAGGAGGTGAGACATGAATGCCAGAGGCCTCGGTGCAGGCTGGCACTTGTGGGCTGTACAGTAGGTTCCACCTGCCCAGCTTCCTAAGGCTACCTGCAGCCCCGGGAAATCCTGCAGGAACTGCTCCATCAGGGAGGATTGCATCCCACAGCACAGGCAGGCGTCTGAATGTAGATCCGATGTGCCTTCTGCTGTTCACCCAGGGTATGTCAGACGTCAGGGAGCTCAGAAAAGAAGGCCCAGACCTGAGACAGCTGAGCCTCACTTAGAGGCCCAGCTCCCCCCTGGTGACTCCAGAACAAGAGTCCAGTTTTGCCTGGTGCGGTGGCACATGCCTGTAATCCCAACACGTTGGGAGGCTAAGGTTGGAGGATCCCTTGAGCCCGGGAGGTCGAGGCCACAGTGAGCCATGGTCTCACCACTGCACTACAGCCTGGGGAAACAGAGTGAGGCCCTATAGCCAAAAAAAAAAAAAAAAAAAAAAAAAAAACAGGAGTCAAGTTTTGAGAAGCTCAGCCTCACTGCGCAGAGCCCCTCTGGTGCTTTTGTAGCTGTTTCTTAGATCTCCTGACACGAACCTAAGGATAATTCCAGGCTCCCAACCTCTGGCAGGGTCTCTACGTCGACAGGCGGCACCTTCAGTGTGCAAATTGCTCCACCAAGAAATTGACTGTCAAGGGAAATTTGGGCTGGCCCTGCCCTGCAGGGGCTCAAAGTCTCAGAAAAGTCCAAAATGTTAGTCTGGTTATTTTTCAAACCACTCCTGCCAAGTATCTCTAAAGCAGAGCTATAGTTTGGAAAATGTATCAACTGAGCCTGTCTGTAAAGACGCCATCAGTCTTAGCTAGGAAAGAAACTGGCTCTTAGCAGCACAAAAAGACCATATCTGGTCAATTTGTGTTTAAATGATGTTTTGATACATGAATAACACCTAAAATATTCCACCCTGAGCTCTGAGGAATCTGGCTTCTCTCCCCTTCGGTGATATTTGGTCCTAGGCAGGAGAAAGGGTGTCCCTTTGTGAATATGATACGAGGTCCTGGACACTTGGGTTTGGTTGTGGTAAAGATCAAGGTAGCCCAGATTTGGTGGGGAGTGTAAGGCTGGCTTTAGGCTAAGAGCTCAAAGCCAGAGGGAAATGGTGAGTGCAAGGTGGGGATTCTCCCCATGACCTCCTGGAGGAAGCCTGGGGGACCTCCATCTTCCTTTCTTCCTGCCTTTGGAGGGTGGCCTCAGCAGGGAGGCTCTGCCAGCCCAGGGGTTGGCCATGCGAGCTCGGCCCTTCCACCACATGGTCAGAAATGCAAACAGCAGTTACTCAGGATTCAACCACTGTGGGCGGAGATGAGGCCAAAGCCAAGACCTCTGCCCAGTAGGTGACCTGGAGCGAAGCGGGAGGTGCGTGCTTCCTGCAGCTTCCACCCCATCCCCACCAAGCTTGCAGGGAAGCCGGTGCTCAGCGTGGAGCCGCCTGCCGCCCTTGCACCTCCGGTCCTCTCTGAAGAAGAGAGCTTCCTGCTCTTTGTATTTTGGCTAAAGGCGGTGAAGTGAGAGGCGGAGGGGGATTTAAAACCATCAGAAAAAGGCTTCTAGTTGGGCTGATGGTGTTTGTGCTAGAAGCTGAGGGGGGCAGGGAGGAGAGCCCAGGAGAGCCGTAGGGCTCATGGGCAGGCCGTTGGTATACACCTTGGCCTCCCTGTCCCCAATCCCACCGCCAGCGACTCCAGGCCACCCTCAGGCCACATGCTGGCGATGACAGGGGTGGCCTTCCACATGCCTGTTCTCTGGGAGAGGAGCTCATGTTGTGCCCAACTGGGGACGTCCTGCCCCCACCCCCCAACACTCTGCTTTCCTCTGCCCTTGAGAGGCCCTCAGAAGAGAGGAGGCTGAGGGAGGGGCACAAGATAAACCCCGAAAGGCCGGCTCCTGGCTTAGGTTTAGAACTCACTGCTGCTGCAGGGCACTTGGCTATTGCATGACGATGACAACAGCATTGATGACCACATGATGGCTGAGGCGTGCCAGGCACTGTTCCAAGGGCCACACTCGTACTGGTTGTTGGTTGTTTAATCCTCCTGACAACCTATTAACACAGCTTCTCTTCACTATCAGCTACCCCATTCTGCAGCCGGGAAAACTAAGGCACACGGACCACAAAATGCAAGAGCTGAGATACAAACCCAGAGCTAGCTAACCACAGAGTGCAGGTTCTCCCACCACCTGTGTGCGCCTGCCCACCCCACCCAACCCCTGCTGCCATGCGCGCGCACGCACACACACACACACACACACACACACACACACACACACACACACTTCCTCCCTGCTCCAGGCCACGGCCATGGCTTCAATGAATCATTCTTAACGTACCCGTCTTTTGTGCCTGGAACATGCAGTACCTACACCACTCTGTCACCCAGGCTGGAGTGCAGTGGTGCGATCTCAACTCACTGCAACCTCCGCCTCCCAGGTTCAAGTGATTCTCCTGCCTCAGCCTCCCGAGTAGCTGGGATTACAGGCGCCCACCACCACGCCCGGATACTTCTTGTATTTTTAGTAGAGACAGGGTTTCACCGTGTTGGCCAGGCTGATCTCAAACTCCTGACCTGGAGTGATCTGCCCGCCTGGGCCTCCCAGTGCTGGGATTACAGGTGTGAGCCACCGTGCCTGACCCTACACCACTTTTTAATAAATGTTTAGGGACTGTACCCGAAGGAAGAGAATTGAACCAGAATGCCCATGATGCTGGGCCCAGAGGAGGCCCCTCAGAGCCTTGCAGGTGACATTTATGAAGTACCAGCGGCTGTGGACCAGGCATGATTCTGTGCCTAAGTTCGGTGTATCCAGAAAGTCAAAAAACAAACGCCCTCTTCAGCGTCCTCCCAGATAACCCTCTGGCCCAGCCAGCCAGGGTGTGTGTTTAGAGCCCAGAACCTTGTCCAAGGCAGCAGAAAGGAGAAAGTTCAAAGCGGGCCAGAGCGGGAAGGACCTTATTCTGACCCCTCCTCATCTTCCAGAAAGAAAAACTGAATCTGAGGCTGAAGGACTTGGCCAGGGTCACAGAGGGTTTGAGTAGCCAACTGAGGGCCCAGTTCAGGCCACCCATCTTCCGCAGGGAGCCCCCCACGGCCCTTGAGCAGTAGAGGAGAGCCGTGCAGTGCTCGGGCTTTGAAGACAGAGACCAGAATTCCTTCTCACTCTGCCGTGTGGCCCTGAACAAGTTACTTCCCCTCTCTGGGCTGTGGGATTGCAACGGTCCCCAGTGCTGGTCCAGGCGAGGTGGAACATCTGTGCCGGCCAATAATGAGGCTCCTGCTCGCACCACTGATAGGCTGGAAGTATTGGTATTTTCTAATATCAGTGGGAGTGAGTCAGTGCACAGCGATGGGTCTCGGGCATCACGAAGATCCTTTCTCCTGGCCGCAGTGGTTGAGATCTGGTCCCTGGCTTGCCTGTGCTTAGCAAAGCAGAACCTGCACTGAGCAGGACCATCGTCCCTGCCAGGGCCCCCTTGCTTCCCGAGTGAGCCTACAGGCTGGGCCTCTGCTGCGCCAGGCAGCTGGGGACCTATTCCTCCCGGCCCAGCCCCCGGTCTCCCAGAGAGGAGTCCTGGGGTCCCTGTTTCTCTACCTCATGTGTCCAGAGCACCCAGGCCACGTCCAAGGCAGCCGCCCCACCAGGCGGATGGAGATAGAGCAAGGACCCTCGTCATCTCACTGTTTTCCAGGACCTTATAACATAAAGACCTGGCTAGCATTTGCTATTGGCACAAGGCTTGCTGATTAGATGGGGGCAGGCTGGGGACTCTGCCTCTCCTAGAAGTGGCTGGAGGACAGGCTGCAGAGGCTTCCACCTCAGGGTCACCCCAGGGGTGAATGTTCCGGGGCCCATCTACCACAAAACAGGCCTGGGTGAGTCCACCTCCAGGGCCGGCAACAGAGGTTGCAGGGCCCCATACAAGAGGAAAATACAGGTCCCTAGTTCAAAATTCATTGTGTGTGTGTGTGTGTGTGTATGTGTATGTGTATGTGTGTATGCTGTGTGTGTGTGTGTGTGTGTGTGTGTATGCTGTGTGTGTGTGTGTGTGTGTGTGTGTTGAGATGGAGTCTCGCTCTGTTACCCAGGCTGGAGTGCAGTGACATGATCTCGGCTCACTGCAACCTCTGCCTCCAGGGTTCAAGCGATTCTTCTGCCTCAGCCTCCCAAGTAGCTGGGATTACAGGCACGTGCCACCATGCCCGGCTAATTTTTGTATTTTTAGTAGAGACGGGGGTTTCACCATATTGGCCAGGCTGGTCTTGAACCCCTGACCTCAGGTGATCCGCCCGTCTTGGCTTTCCAAAGTACTGGGATTACAGGCGTGAGCCACAGCATCCGGCCCATTGTGTGTTTTAAGACAGCAACAGGGGAGCATTAAACCAAGCATGAGGCCCTGCTGAGCTCAGGGCCGGTGCAACAGCATGGGTCACACGCCTGTGAAGCTGCCCTGGATGACAAGGAGGGACAGGGCATGGCTAAGTACCCGGTCTATGTCCACCACGGCAGGGACCTGGGGGACCCTCGCCAACCCCCAGCTCGGGCCCAGCGCTTTCTCCCCGGCCAGCTCGCCACCCAGGAGGCTCTCCATCCACGCAGCCTGGCCAGGCGATTCCAGGGCTGCCTCTTTCTTGCAGCATGGAGATGTGTGACCAGAGACAAAATATCACCATGTGCCCGCTTTGCGACAAGACCTGCAGCTACTGGAAGATGAGCTCAGCCTGCGCCACGGCCCGCGCCAGCCACCTCTTCGACAACCCCGCCACCGTCTTCTTCTCTGTCTTCATGGCCCTCTGGGGTAAGCAGAGCTCCAGCACACTGGGTTTTTGGGCGGTGGTGAGTCTGAGTGGCACCTACGCTGCTTCTGTCTGTCTTGGTGAAATCATCCTCAGGCAGGGGTTGTCAGGAAAAAACATAGGAGATGACCCCCGTTTTATGTTCAGGTTACTGGGGTCCGCACTGCATCGGGAGAGACACACAGGTTCTCCTGACCCTGCCCAGAGTCTCTTAGGAAAAGCCTAGCAGGGACGTTTTGCTCTGAGAAATCCTGACACCAAGGTGTGTTGGCCTGGGAAGGGCAGCTGATTTAGTGCAGGGAGGCCCGAGGGTCCTGCCTCCATCCCTGCTGCTGCTGGTGAGCACCACACCCTGAAGGAAAGCTGACCTGGGCCAGGTCCCGGAGGCACCATCTCTCACTAGAGCCTGCAGCATCCCTGCAGGCTTCATGCACCCATTTACGGATAAGGAGGCAAAGGCCTAAAAGAGTTGGGAATTGCCAGGGGTCACTCAGCTCCTGATTGCCACTGGGCTGCACTGCCACCCAAATCTAAGGCACTGGGCTCCTCCAGGAAGATTCCCTAACCCCAGTGCCCTTACTTGATGAGTCCTCTGATGTCTCAGAACCTCATCTATGTGTCTATAAAATGGAGTGCGTCATCCCTGCGTGGAGGGGGCTGGGGCAGGATCCAAGGGGATCAGGCGTGGGAAAGCACCGTGCCCAGCACCTGGCGGCAGCTGGGTATTATACAACATTTGTATGAGGTGGTTGGCACATTGGCAAGGAGGACCAGGATTGGGAGCCTGAGAGGGCAGGAATCGGAACTCGTGTAGGTAAGGAGGGAGGACTCGGGGTCCCTAACCCCAGTCCTACCCGACACCCATCTTCAGCTTTTGGGGCTCGGGAGGTTGGGAAGTGGTGGCTGAATGCATTTCTACAGAGGTTTTGGGGGAGCAAGCAGGGCCGTTCTGTCCTCCGCAGCCCCATGTCACAGCCTGTGCCAGCTGGGCTTCAAGATGCCCACAGTAGGCATCCTTGTGCTGAGCCTGGCCCCATGCCGGGCAGTTAAGCCCCCATCCTTACCTGTGAGCTCCCACCTTGTAGGAGATGGGGCAGAGACGGCACAGAAGGGAATTCAGGAGGGAATTCTGGAAGAGGTATGAGGCCCTTCAGCTGACTTGACATGGGTGTGGGGGAGGGAGCATTTGTGGCAGAGAGACCAGGTGTAGAACAGAGGGGTCTCTTGGTCCCACCTCACATCCCTGCTTGGGGCAGGCTCCCGGGGCCGGAATAGCGCCACCTCACCTGCAGCTCCACATGCTTGGCACTGCCCTGTGTGCTCCATGGGTAGGCAAGGGGCAAACGCAGACTGAAAAGGCAATTGTGAGGACGGAGGCCAGCCAGGTGCGGGGCTCTGTGCGGCCCTCACCCGCCAGCGTGCTGATCCTGGAGATCAGACCTAGGATTCAGTACTGTGCCCCATCACTAAGCAGGGCATTGGCTGGCATTGTCAAAGCCGTGCCAGCATCCTCCGTGGAGAGCACCGCGAAGTCAGGCCTGTGATTCCAGCTCAGCAGCCTCCTGACCAAGGGACAGCTGCTCGGGGGAGGCCGGAAACCTAGGGGAGGTTGGGAGGATGAAGTCGGAGCTGGGTCTCTGGTCTGCACAGAAGCACCCAGCAAGTTGGGCAGAGAGGGACTGAAGTGCCGGCACCCGGCTCCAAGTCCAGCGTGCTGCTCCCCTCTTCCTCTTTATGGCTCCTCGGTTCTCTCCAGCCCTGAGCCCCGTCCCTACACAGCTCGGCAGCCTCCTCCCCTGCTCCGGAGGCTGCATTCAGGGCTGGTGTTCCCTCCAACAGTGCATAAGAGAATTCCCCACGAGGCTGAGGAGGCTAAGGAAGCCGACGGGCTGTGGTTATCCTCACACTTGGTGCAGACGTCCTGCAGCTGGGACTCGGTTTGACTCAGTCTGTGTGATTTGGGGGTGGGTGTGCACAGCAGAGCCAAGGGATGTATCAGGAGAGGTGAGGGAGGGGAGGTCTGGCCCCCCCTCTGCAGCTCCTGCTCCAGCCTGGGCAGCTGGGCTGGGTCCTCTTGCCTCTGCTCACCCATCACATTCCGGAGACCCAGGACAGAGGCAGCCAGCTCTGAGCATGGGTGCTGGCAAGAGTGGGAGTTGGAGCTTCTCCACTTAGATGCTGTGTGGACGGCCATCTCCCTCAAGCCCCTCCTCACCCTGGAATCTTATTGGGCAGCTCCGTGTCCTTAGCAGAGTTCCCTCCACAGAGTCCTTGGCCCCGAGGTACCTCCCTGTAGCCCCCACCCTCTGTGTGCCCAGCTGGAAGGGCCCGGCTCCCATGAGGGCTTCCTCCACGTGGTGGCCAGCAGCTCTGTTTCCTCATTTCGGTCCCCTGGGCCTGTGCGGCCACTGAGACCGTACTTCGGGTGGCCCATAGCAAGACCCACAAATAAGTGTGCCCCTGTAGCACTGAGCCCCCAAGCCACTAGGAGACTGTTCAGTGCCACCTTCTGTGGTCAGCCCTGCTGCCCCGTGTGCATTTCTACAGCCCCCCGGGGCTCAGACTCCCCCTCTGCCAGTCCCCACCTCACTGCTCTGAACCTCAGCTTCCTCGTCTGCAGAATGGGGCTGCATGAGGATTAGAGGCGGCGGACATGAACTCTCAGCCGAGGCTTCACACGTAGCTCACTCTAGATAGGTGGTCACTGCCGTCTTACAACGTTGGAGCATGTGAGAACCAAAGAAAACCTACATGAGAGTGTGCACACACCTGGTGTGTAGGAGGTACTCTTCGGTCCGTGTGTACTGAGGGCGTGTGTCCCGCCTACACGAGGGTGTGCACCCCTGGTGTGTGGGAGGTACTCATGGGCCCGTGTGTACTGAGGTCGTGTGTCCCACCTACATGAGGGTGTGCATGCCTGGTGTGTAGGAGGTACTCTTCGGCCTATGTGTACTGAGGGCGTGTGTCCCACCTACATGAAGGTGTGCACGCCTGGTGTGTGGGAGGTACTCATGGGCCCGTGTGTACTGAGGGTGCGTGTCCCACCTACATGAGGGTGTGCATGCCTGGTGTGTAGGAGGTACTCTTCGGCCTATGTGTACTGAGGGTGCGTGTCCCACCTACATGAGAGTTTTGCACGCGCCTGGTGTATTACTCACCGGCCCATGTGTACTGAGGGCGTGTGTCCCGCCTACATGAGGGTGTGCACACGCCTGGTGTATGGGAGGTACTCATCGGCCGGTGTGTACTGAGTGAAGTGTGTGTCCCACACTATGCCGGGCCCCAGGGGAACCACAGGAAGCAAACCTGATGTATCTGCTGCTCTAAAAGCTGCAGCATCTGTTTCAAGAGAAGGCCCCATGGGAAGGGTGCAGGGCTGTGGCAGGAGTTCCAGGTGCAGGGAGCAGGTGGGAGGGGCGTCAGAGCTTCCGGAGAGGTCAGCAAGGACTCGCTGAGAAGAGCTTAGTGCGCTTGCTCGGAGGAATCTGAACCCAGTGCCGCTGGCTGCTGTGTCAAAGACGCTTTCCTGTCTTATGCTTGAGTCGGAGACCGCAAGTCTAACAGGGAACTCGTGCAGTGATTAAGAGAGGGGTGCCATAGTGGGGGCCTAACTCCAGGAAGGGTACCCATGGGAAGGTGCGAGAGAAGCGATTGGGAGCCTCATGGCACCCTCCCTGCCTGGCCCTGGGGGCCCCTGATTTCATCCATCTATTTCCTCTTTCCCTGCTGAAATCCCTGGGAGAAATCCAGCCCCTAGACTCCCTATAGCCACTTCTCCAAAGAAAGGGCCTCCGATGGAAAAGAGAGACTTTCGATTATTCCAAAGGACTCCACACTTTGTTTCAGCTCTCCTGCTATTCCCATGAGTTAAGGAGACGCTGGCGGGCTTGACCAAGACAACTCCCACACTTGACCATGAATAATAGGATTTTAAGGGCCCTGGAGAGAGCGGCCACCATGTCCTTCCACCCCACGCTCTGCCCATCCCTAGCATCCCCTTAGGATCTGGGAGGGTGCAGCCATCTGAGAGCCCCTGGCTGGTGTTCTTCTCTATAGCGGACTCCAAAGGCACCCACTTTTGTGGGACTCTCCACACATCCAGTAATTCCTGGGTGCATGGAACTGGGCCTCCCTCCTCCGCAGACAAAGAAGGATGTAGTGTTTCATTTTCTCCTTCTCCAGTTACGGACACGCCCAGTAAGAGTGGGTTCCCAGGGGAAGGCAGCAGAGAGGCTGAAGGAGCCCAGATGAAGAAAGAAGCCTATTTCTCCATTTATTAAATAGGGAATCCTTTCCCCATTTCTTGTTTTCCTCAGGTTTGTCAAAGATCAGATGGCTGTAGATGTGTGGTATTATTTCTGAAGGCTCTGTTCTGTTCCATTGGTCTATATCTCTGTTTTGGTACCAGTACCATGCTGTTTTGGTTACTGTAGCCTTGTAGTATAGTTTGAAGTCAGATAGCGTGATGCCTCCAGGTTTGTTCTTTTGACTTAGGATTGTCTTGGCAATGCGGGGTCTTTTTTGGTTCCATATGAACTTTAAAGCTGGTGCTGGAGAGGATGTGGAGAAAAGGATGTGGAGAAACAGGAACACTTTTACACTGTTGATGGGATTGTAAACTGGTTCAACCATTGTGGAAAACAGTATGGTGATTCCTCAAGGATCTAGAACTAGAAATACCATTTGACCCAGCCATCCCATTACTGGGTATATACCCAAAGGATTATAAATCATGCTGCTATAAAGACACATGCACACGTATGTTTATTGAGGCACTATTCACAATAGCAAAGACTTGGAATCAACCCAAATGTCCATCAGTGACAGACTGGATTAAGAAAATGTGGCACATATACACCATGGAATACTATGCAGCCATAAAAAAAGATGAGTTCGTGTCCTTTGTAGGGACATGGATGCAGCTGGAAACCATCATTCTCAGCAAACTATTGCAAGGACAGAAAACCAAATACCGCATGTTCTCACTCATAGGTGGGAATTG